CGGCGCGAGAACATCGTGGTGTACGATGTGTGCGCCACCATCGACCAGTGCCCCACGCGCATCGAGGAGACCTCACCCATCGTCCTGCGCTACAAGACCCCCTACTTCAAAGCTTCGGCCCGTGTGGTCATGCCCCCCATCCCCCGCCACGAGACCTGGGTGGTGGGCTGGATCCAGGCGTGCAACCAGATGGAGTTCTTCAACACCTACAGCGACCTGGGCATGTAAGCGACCGACCGCGCGGAGCCGGAACGGGGTCCCTGGCCCTCGTATCTTCTCACCCCGACCCTCCTCTCCAGCTCCTTCTTACCGCTCTCCGCATCCTCTTTCTAAACCTTCCTCCCGCCTCCTCTCCCACCTCCCTCCTCCCTACGCTTTTGTTTCAATGACAGGGCGGGTGTGTGTAGGGAGGCTCCTCGCGAAGGCATTTTCTCGTGGTTTGTCTCTGACTCCCCGGGAACGCGAGAACGGTACTGGGCAGGAAGAACCCGATAAGGAGAGTCCGAGAGACGGAGGTGAGGGTGGCTGGCGAGTACCCTGGGAGTTTCGGGGACGCCGCCTGTGCTTTGTGGGGCTTTCCAGGAAGAGTTTGGGGAGACCTGTAGAAAGGAGTGGAGTGGAGTGCCGGGGGCGCATGGGCTGTGCCGCGCGTCCTTTGGAGAAACCCGAGCGGGCTTGGAGGAGAAGGTCCCGGGCGTCCGAGCTGGACTTGGTGGTTCTGCTCTTTTCCCCTCGACTGTTGAGTTCCAGCCCTTGACCCCCGGGCCGGGAAGCTTGGAGGCGTTTGTATCCGGAACCGCAAATCCGGCAGAGCCGCCTCTCTGGCTCGGCGCCCTCTGGACGAGTTCTGGGGTGGAGGGAGCGGGAAGGCACCGGTCGCGTCCCGGCTAAGCAGGGCTGATGGCCTTGTGCGAGCAGCCTCTGTCTGGCGCGCTGCGATGTGTTTCTTTTGCTTAAGGAAAAGTGTGGGTCTTTTGTCGGTCCAGGGTCTTTGCTTATTCCAAAAGTTTACTAATTGCGGCGCTGGAAGGGATTCCCCAGCGCCCACCGCCGAATCCTGCCGGCGAGCTGGGAGCTCTCCAACTTCTTTCAGCAGCGCCGCTCCGTGCGCGCCGGGCTCGGCGGCTGCGCTGGAGACCCGGGATCGCAGCGACTACTCGCCGCCAGGGGCCGACAGCCTGCCCAGCAACCGCAGGCTGCTGACGGTCGCGTCCAAGACTTTATTTACTATATTTTCATAACTTCCTGCCAGCCTCCTTTCCGAAGTGGACTCTGAGCAGTTAACAACAATGGCTAAAAGGTTTGGGCATGTATTCGACCTGCTGTTACAATGCAGGTCTAGAGCACCCTAATTAGCTTACAGCCTATAGGGAAACCCTTTTCTGGAAAGTCGGCCTCATTTCATTTATTGATGTACAACTCTAGAGTTCCCAAGGTTCATCCATTGAATGCGGGTATGGGGTGGGGGAGTTTCCATTTTAAAAGGTCAAACTATCTTTTTAACAGCAGTCTGCAGGCTTTTCACTGCACTCTGAGAGCATCTAAGTTAGCACTAGTCAGAGGTGCTAAAAGGAATTTTGACAGATCGCTGTGTTTTCCCCCACTACCACCCCCACCCCTCAGAGTTGGAACTTTTCTTTTTAAGCATAAAAGATCAATGCTGGAGAAATCGCCTCCCTGGAGAGGATGTGTGACAGACCAGTTTCCTCTATGCCTCTGCACAGAGTGCTCTTCTCTTTCTGGAAGGCAGCTGAATGTGAGAAATGGGGGACATATTATTTGGGGGTGAATGATGCCATTTAAACACAGACACATCCTCAAAAGAATGATTATATATCTGAATACGTGTCTCTTAAAGATTTTTTTTTAAAGAAACCTATTTCCAGTCAAGTCAGAGAAAGCCCCAGACAGAGCAAGGGTGCCCTCCCCTTTGTCCTCCTGGCCTGGCCCTAATGGCAGTGTGCAACTTTGCTGGGGGTCAGTAATTGCAGCCTGGGGCTCCTCTGGAGGAAGCTGGAAGGGACTGAGCTGAAACAGCCTCGCTTTGCCCAAGACTGCACAGCCAGGGCTCTCTGTTGCCTCACATCTCCTGTAAACTAGTAACTCAAAAGCAAATAAATCTTCCATTCCATAAAAGAAAATATATCCTACCTCAGGAGACGCTGAGGAGAGGTATACACAGACATGGTAGTTGAACTTCCTGGACTCTGTGAGAGGATGTGTCAGAATGGGAACCAGCTTTCGCTGGCATGAGTCAGTGCCCACCCTGAGGGACGCGTGTTCCCTGGCCCTTCCTTGCTGAATGCTTGCCTTTGGGATTTGGAAACAAAGGTTTGCCTTTAAACTGCTACTTGCAGTATTTTGAGATTCTTGGTTTTCGTGTTGATACTGGGGAGCAAAAATAGTCCCCAAGAATCCATAAAGCATATTGTTACAGATCTATGTCCAGAGTCTACCTGTCTCTTCATGGCTGCGATGATCGCTATGTGTTTAAGGCCACTTTGGAGCCCAGAGTTGGTTGAACCAAGTTCCACAAAATGTTTCTGCCCTGAAAACTTTGCCAATGTAAACTTTTTAATGGAAAGTCATATTGCATGAAAGTCACAGCAGTCTATTAGTTATTATGTCCACTTTAGCCAGTACCTTGAGTGGAAAAAACACTGCAGGCTGAATTTTCACCCTGGTGCAATGCTCTTGTTACATGAAGCATGATATAATGAGAGGGTGGAGGTTAGAAAGCTGCCTTTTCAACATTTAAGAGAGACTGTGCCAGAGGAAATACGCAACGTAAAATAGCAAGGAACCTCTATCTATAGGTTTAAAAGAAAACATGAGCTTTTGTGGTTTCAGTTCTCAACATTTCTGAGAAAGAGTAGGCTTCTAAAGGAGCGTATGAAATAGTTGATGATCAGGACAGCCAGAGCTTAATTTGAACTTGAACTCACATGACTTGGAACTTCCTCCGGTGATTCTATAGGAAGCAGGCTCTGATTGCTTTCTCATTTGGCCCTGGTGAACCCTGCTCATGCAGTCCCTCTCAGACTGCTGCAAGGCTTCATCCTTCAGGGAGGATGGAGGATTTTCTCAGTCAACCCATCAATAAACAAATATTTATCAAGTGCCTCCAATATACCGGCACCAGCAAAGAAAACAAAGGAATAAGCATGCAGCTTCACTTCTTTTCAACATAAGAGGTAGGGGCACGTGCAGAAAAAGCCAGTGCTCCCAAGCAATGCAGCAGTGCCAGAGAGAGAGGGGCAGGGGTGGGTCCAAGTAAGGTTTTCCACATGTGTAAGGACTCAAGCTGGATGCAAGGGACGGATGAGATTCAGCCGGGCAAGGAAGTGGGGCTAGCGCTAGAGGGGAAAAGCAGCAAATGTATGGAAGTGGGAAAATGTAAGATGTTTTAAGGGGGCATTTGTAGGTGGTAGAACGTTTAAGGAGAACAGTGGGAGATGAGGTCTGAAAGGGTCTGTTAGGGAAAGCCCAGGACAATATGATCTGGAAAAGAGGAGGCTAAGGTGAGGTTTTCATAACCAGACATTTTAAGGAGGCTCTGCATACCTTCTCCATACCTCTTGGGCATACAGGAGCTTTGCAGTAGAGGCATAAGACCCTTATGATGGAACAGTCTTGAATGCTAGAGTCCAGTACCCAAGATTTCCTGAGTGAGGTTGGAACAAAGAACAGGGTTCATGTGCCAAGGTCAAAGGTGAAGCTGAGGTCAAGGGGGAGATCCAGCAATGGCTAAAGTCCCTTCCCACTCCCTTTGAACCTATGTGTGTTGTCTCCCAGAGCTGTCAGGGGACTCTCTGATCAGCTCAGGGTTGATGGTCTAGAATTTGGAAAACCTAGGCTTGGATGAAATCTGGGGAGATGAGAGCTCACACCTCTCCTTCAGGAGACAGCTCCTGACTGTCTCTACTCCTCCTTCAGAGCCAACGTTGTTCAGGATTGGACTATACCCTCCCACCTCTGTTGTCTGTTCGGTTCAATCCAAGCTGGTTTCTGTCCATTCCATACTTGTTCTTGCTCCATTCATCTGTGGTTTCCATGTTGCCAGATCCAATAGCCACTTTTGAGACACACTCACCTTTCCAGCAGTATGCCACATAGTTGACAGCTTCCTGGGTTTTGAATCACTTCCATCCTTTAGCCTTTGTGCTATTTTCCTGGCTGTTCCTCTATCTGATTTCAAAATACGGTTCATCGAGACATTTCTCAGTCTATGCTGGCTGGATGGTAGTTTCCTCCATCCCAATGGCAGCAGCTGGTCTCTGTGATACACAGTCACCTGCAGTATCGGTGTGTGTGTCTTCGCATGGTTTCCACTTGGCTGTCTTGAAAGACATCTTGAGCTCTATGTATCCAAACCTGAACTCTTGATCTCTGCTATTGCTCCCACCCAAAAGCTGCCCCTCCGCCATCTTCCCCATCTCAGTAAATAAAATACCTCCACTTCCTGGGTTGCGTCAGCTGAAAATCTTCGTGTCACTCTAGATACTTACCCACACATCCAATCCGCCATCAAACCCTCCTGATCCCCTGTCCCAGATAGCCCTAATCCAGCCACTGCTTTCTGCGTCCACCCCTTCCATCTTAGCACATGCCACCATCAACTGTCACTTGCTCCGGAAAAGGGTTTCACCCCCCAACTTGCCGCCTCCATTCTTCACCCCCCTCCAGTCTGTCCCCTATACAACAGCCAGAGTGACATGTTAACAACATAAACGCTGCTGCTTTCCTGCTTAATTAAACCCTTTAATGACTTTCCATTGCACTTGAGGTAAAATTTGAAAAATCTCTTCCCACTCTTTGAATTTGTGTTCTTCAGCCTTTTTCCGTTTCTTCAAAGGAACCAACTTCACCGCAATTCAGAACTTCTCCACAGGCTGCTCTCTGTCTGAAACGCTCTTCTTGCCCACACTTTTCTAGCAAATTCCTAATCCTCATTCATGTCTCAATGTCTCAACTGTTACCTCCTCAGAGAGGGAGCTCTGAGTTCACAGTTTAAATTAGGGCTCTCCTGTTGCCTTGAATAACACATTATTCTTGTACTTGTTACTGTTAGTAAGCATACAATTGTATGTTTATTTAACATCCCTTCATCTACTAGCATATAAGCTCCATGAAAGCAGATAATGTATCCATTTTACTCACTGTGAACAGTGCTTGACCCATAGCAGATGTTCAATAAACATTGTATAAAAATAAAAGAGCCATT